AATGAGATAGAAAATGTTTTTTTGCAGTGGCCTTACATGCGAACGCCTTATTGCAAATGTCACAATTATACTCTTTCTCTCTCGTGTGCAAATTTCGATGCAGTCGTAAAGTTTCTTTTCTTTTGAAACCCTTTTTGCAAAACTCGCATTCAAAAGGATAGTAGTCGGAATGAACACTTTGATGCACCGATAAACATCGAGTTGAAAGAAAACTTTTATTACAAATTCTACAGTAGTAGCGTCTTGCCTGCGTATGCATATTTCGGTGAACTTGAAGCTGCTGATTTGTCTTAAACGTTGAACTACATAAATCACATGCATAACGGCGGGCGTTCGAATGCGATAATGTATGAACACGTAAATATGCCGAGTTCGTAAATTGTTTTGGACAAATTTCACAGGCGTACTGGTGTTGTGCGTCGTGCCTTTTTAGATGCTGAACTAAATTGCCTTTCATTTTGAATGTTAAATGGCAAATGTCGCATGAATAAGGGCGGTGTTCTGAATGACTGATCAAATGTTGGTTTAGCAGACGAAGACTTCTGCAAGGTTTAGAGCAAATCCCACAGCACAACACATGCTCGGCTTGGGATTTTTGATGATCACGTGTCTTAAAATATAAATTTTGGTGCTGGGACAAATCATGTTCTTCAATTGTAATTTCTTCTTTTACTTGAAGGAACGACTGATTCTGGAATCTAAAACAAATAATTGATTAGTTCAAAATAGAGGGCAAATGAATAAAGCAAATATCAGTTATTTATTTTAAGTCGTAACTACAGACGTGTCGTATGGCCAATGTTATAATAGACGTGGATCATTCTGGTCCTTTAAATTGTAAATAGCAGGTAAACAACTAAGGCAATTAACTTTGAAGTTATAATTTTATTTCACATTATTTCTATAAAATGATGAAAACATGGTGAGTGAAAAATATTTTTATTCCAAACTGGAAAGCAACTTTAGGGTTTATTTCATAATCAAATATTTTTTAATAGTAAAATATGTCGCAGCAGTATGAAGACCACAATAACTTAAGGCAAACACAACCCCCAAGAGTGCCAAACAAATCAGTAATTTAAAAAAAGAATCAAAATTTTAAAAAATTGTCAATTAAATCCTCAAAAACCAATCTTCTTCCTTTTTATTTTTCAGTGACAAATACGCGTAACACTCGTGAGTGCTTCAAACGTTGGCTCCAGCATGACCAGAAAGTTCAGAGAAATTCTTCGATGATTAGGTCGCGATAAATGAGTAAAATTAATGGCGTGACAAAGAAAAAGTTTTGCTTTTATCTGTTTCCATTTACTTTATATTCTAGATTAGAAATTGAATTACGCCATGTCCTGTTCGTACTAATTAATATTTTGATCATTTTTTATGTTATATTTTTCTTGGGCCACAAATAGCATTTTTTACATTCAGAGGTGGTT